CTAATATTGTTTTTTATGTTTATAAACCCACATTTTCCCCCCTCTGTCCCGTCTGGGAGAGGGGTGTCTAACACCCCCAATATTCCGGGGGGTAGAAGTCCACACATCTCCAAGCTGACAAGGTCGAGGAACACTGTGTTAATACAATCAACACTAACTATAGGAGGCAGTTCATTTATACCAGGGGTCCCCAAACTCTTCAGCTCATCAACCCCTTCATGAACGTTCAGATTGTTTCTCGATCCCTAAACATTTATTACAGTAAATGCAAATAATTTAATAAACACTATTTTAAATAGTAACCCCAACAACAATGGATTTTCCCATTGACCCTTGGGGGTCGATATTGATCACTCTGGAGAACTCTGATTTATGTAGACCTCTGGTGGACACCACCATGACATCACGCATATCCTGACGTTGTTGTGCTAATGGTGTCACTACCATTGGCACCACCAGCACAACGATGCCTTGGGCCCGTCTACATTCATTTAACGATTTGTAGCAGGCTGGCGAGAAGATCAGATTTCTACCAACGGCGTCAGATAGGCGGTTCTTCGCAGATACGCTGCAATTTTGCAAAATAAGGACGTTCTCCTCTTTGTCCTATGGGCCGGAATTGCGTTCCATGTTCCATGTACGCGTGAATCCACCACCTCTGAATGTAAATATAAAATGGGTCGGGTGTATGGCTATATACATTTGATATATACATAAATAAAATAAATAAATTTGAAATCTGGAGAACATCTTGTAGGCACCATCATGAAATGGCTACTGAGGTGAGCGTGGCCAGGTCACAAAACACCTGTTTACTGGAATGGACAGTGGGGAAGATGTTGTTTCCTACACACCTTAAGTTTGTCCTTCGTTCCTGGGTGGGAAACAGCCCCCAAAATGAGGAACTGAGCTACACACCAATCACTTTATCTTCCAAGGATGCCAATGGAGCCCACGCCATCTGGGCCAAGAGGCATTCTTAGCAAGCAGGGACGCTGGAAGCCAGCTTTCCTGATATTATTATTGTTATCATGATCATCATCATCTTTTGTTGATATTCTTCTTAGTTTTTAATGTGCTGTTAGCTGCCCAAAGTCACATCTGCAGGACAGGCAGCCATATAAGTAGATTTATTATGATGGTTCGCACAGTCAGCCAGATGTTTAGGCTGGATGTGGCATTTTTATCCACCTGTCGAGTCCTTCCCAAGGACCTGGGAGAGGCAGATGTCATTTGAGGGGGTTAAAGGCATCGTCGCAGGTGGAAGCTGTTCCAAGTCAAGCTGCCTTTTGAAATGGACTGAAGGTGATTTTGCCAATATCAGTCAATTGCAAAAGGCAGCTTTTTTGCAATTGACTGATATTATTATTATTATTATTATTATTATTATTATTATTATTATTATTATTAAGCCTAGATTAGATGGCAGCCCACGTTGGGGGCCTGAACTGTGTGCAATAAGGGTCTGGATTTGGCCAGCAGGGGAAAGAAACATGGATCGTGAAAATAGTAAAAATAAAACGAGGCATTTAGTTACTCCTTTAAACACAGCCATTTAAGACAACGCCTTAATACAAAAAAATCCTATTCCACAGAAGAAACATCTGCATCCTTACAGCACAATCCTACATCTCAGAATTGCATCCCACTATATTTGGGGAGGGGGGCATTTTCTCCCCGGTAAGTGATCGCGGGCAGGCCCCTCTGCCTGGAACTCGAACGCAGAGCCTTCAGCAGCCCCTTGCGAACCTAACCCAAACCCAATTCTGCCTCGGATGCCCGAGAAAGAAGGAAACAGGAAAAGGCTGAAAACTCACATAGATCATCAACGTGGCTATTCGATTTCCGGATTTCATCCGATACAGGGGGCTTTTTCTCGACTGCATCAGAAGAAGAGAAGCGGTGATGCTGCAGGATCTGTGATTCGGGGCACCCGAGTTTATCACGTGTGTATTGTTTATGCATCCTTTCTGATATCTTTCTGTTTTTTTACAACATGGTGACGTTCCTTTTTGTCCTCTCCCTTGGGGCAGATCTTGGGTTATAAATTAAGCCTGAACCTGGCCTTCTTTGCATTTGAAGACGGAAAGCTGTTTTCACCTGCAATAGGTCTGCAACAGGGTTACTCACAGTAGCGTGGTCAAAGTGGGGCTCGTAGTGGCCTCCTAATCCGTAGTTGACCACCTGGAGATATTCTGCATAAGGGTGCTGGATATTCAAGCCTGTTAAGGCTGCAGCCCGTCGACCCAACACCCCGATCACGGGATCCACATTGTCTTTCAGCCAAGCACTGAAATAAATGCAGGAATATGTTCAGTCCAACACTTATCCCTAAACTAGGTTCCATCAGAGAGATTTACTTAATCCATAACTCTAAGGCAGCATTTCTCAAGCTTGTAACTTTAAGATGTGTGGAATCCAAACCCCCGGAATTCCCCCCCCAACCACGGGGGCCGGGGGATGTGTGGAGGTGGGTGCTGAAAATCTTTCT